TTAAGTAATGCTGAATCAGTTAGGACTTTGGAAACTCTTGGAGATGAGCTAAATGCCTTTTGCATAAAGGAATGTCCTTTACTCTTTGAATAGCCAGGGACAGAATGTCATAGTTTGTGTCTGGATGTTCCCACAAAGCCTCATGCAGTCATGACCTTTTTGGTGGCTGAATCTAGACTTGTGACTAATTCATTGTCTAGTGTTGGGATTGAAGTTATGGGTACTACATCAGCTCTAGGCCTGGTAGCTTGCATACCATATAAGATAAGAAGAGATAGGCTGGTGAGATGGCTCAGTAGTCTACAGCACCTACTTAGAACAAGCTAAGCTGAGCAAAGCACAGGGACCACGGTTCAATCCCCCAGCACCACATGCCAGCCAGCCCCACCCCCTGGTGAAATGAGCTGCCCCCCCACACACAAGATAAATAAATAAATAAACAAATAAAATTTTAAAAAAAGATAAGAAGAGAGACTTGCTTCCCTCCTTTTTCTCTTGTTTCTTTTGGTATCTTCTGCTGCCATGAACTATTGCCCCTCTGCCATGCCACCCTACTTTGGATCCAACTGATATGGACTAAAACCTCCACGAAGTGTGAATAAATCTTTCTTCATTTAACATTGGGTATTAGATATTTTGTCTTAACAATAAGAGAAAAGTAATTAACACAAGTATAAATATATATAATTATTTTTATGAGCATAACATGAAAAAATTAATAATGAAAATTATGAATTTTATACTCAAGGATAATTATTAGGACATTGATAATAAGAGTTTATACAAAATATGGAATGATGATTAGATCAATATAAGGAAAACAGCAATGAACAGAATAGAAATAGTAAGGAGCTTGAATAGATGGAAGAATGGGTAAGGTTTATAAGGGTCCCCAACAATTCGGGTGCGTGTTGGTCTCAATGTCCGGTCCCACTGGGTCAGGATGGCATTTCTGGCTCCTGACCACTTCCCTGGCCCCACTAGCCTAAACTGGTAAGGGCTGCAAGGGCCAAAGAAAACTTCCACAGCCAACACGGGATCTGTGAGAAACAGCCACAAGATGTTGGGCTTTGCACCAATGAAGGAGGCCAGTTCATCCATATAAATGATGTAATCAGTCTGTATGGTGTCACCTTGGCCAAACCTAGAGGTGGGGAGGAAGCACCACAGTGGATAAGCAAATTTAGTATAGTAAAAGGAGAAATCACCACACATTTTTTTATCAGTGGGAATCAGTGTCAAAATTTGGGTTTAGTAAGAAAAATAGTCCTTGTGTATACTGGACTCTAGTCTTTTCTAAGAACTTTCATATTAACCTCATTTGGAAAAACTTTGATGCTTCAGAACAGTTGAGAACAATGTTTATCCCCATGAAGAAATATATCATTGTCCCTTACTCAAGTGAGGTTCTTTGTTCAGAAGTTATTCGGGCCTGGGCTCTGGGCTAATCAGTAACACAGCTAGGAATGGAGCCTAGAGCTCCAGATTCATCTGCCTGATGGTGGGCCATTTGCGGCACATGTAGCTGTTAGAAGTATCATCTGCATTTTAAAGGCTTTCTGGGCTAGAGAATACAATTCCACATAAGAGTTTAAGATGTTCTCAAACTCTTATGATTTATAAAATTTATGGATCCCTTTACTGTAACAAGAGACATGATACAAAAATACAGTGAAGCTTTTACATTTGATCTTAACCAAAATGCTGAGAAGTGATAGTGAAATTTTTAATTTTTAAAATGTATTGCAGTAAAAGATTCACTGTCATTAAACCCCCTCAAAGTGCTCCCCCTCCCTATGAACAAATTTTTCCCATGTCCTCGCATCTTTCTGAAGAAGTTCTGGGAGTCCTCTTCAATGGAAGTCATTAGTTGTGCTGTCATGATTGCTTTGATTTTCTGAATTGATTCATTTAGTTCCTTTCTGATTTTGAGGAAAAGCCAAAATTCAGGGTCAGGTATCTTGAAGAAGGTGGGTAAGGGAACACCACAGCATTTTTATGAGCTGCCCTTCTCTTGGCTGATACTCAGCAGCAGCATTCACCATATTTTTATAACTTGGAAAGACACTCATGAAAGAGGACTTCCAGAACTGCTTCAGAAAGTAGCAAGAACAATGGAATACGTGTGTCTGAATGAAAGGGGAACATTAATTATAATATGGGAAATTAATTATAACGTGCCTTTCACTTTAATAATTTCTTTAAAGACTTAAAATATGTATCATATACTTTGATTTCTGATGTACTGCATGAGACACGGAAAGATAAAATTGTATAATGTAGAACCTTAGTTCTATATTGCAGTTCAAAAGACAATACAATGTCATGTGCAAACTACATCTTCACTTACATTTTTTCAGCAAAAGAATACAGCTCATAGGGGCTGGGGATATAGCTCAGTGGCGTAAGTGCCTGCCGGGCAAGTACAAGGCCCTGAGTTCGAACCCTGGTACCACCAAAAAAAAAAAAAAAAATACAGCTCATAGCTGTCATTCTAATGACTTCACGAAGAATCATTTCAGACAAAAGTATTCTAATCACTTACAAATTTTTATTTTTCTATGCAAATTAGACCACTGCACCAGATGCTCTTACCATTTGCGATTTTTCCCCATTTTCCCATCAATATCAACCATCATGTCTTCTACAGCAGGCAAAACACAAACTCCTTAAAAAGAGGAAAGACATGATAATAGTTAAAAGAATATAGCACAGAAATAGCCTTCCCCTTTTCCTTCTTAAGGAGTTATAAAGTACATTAGTATTTACAATTGTTGATGACTGTTCAGCAAAATAAACTTTTTCAATGCATAGGTATTATTTTGAGACACACATAAACCTTACTCCTAGCTGCATTAGTAAATTTTCCCATCACTAAGTCAATACTTGATACCCATAATGTAAAGGAAGAGAGATGTAATTTGGCTCAGTGTTTTGGGGAATTCAGCATATGGTTAGCTGACTCTATGCCAGGAACATCGTGGCAGGAAGGTGTGGCAAATGCAAAATCAAGTCAACATATCAGGATTAGTAGTCATGCTAGTTTTCTCTGAACTGGTACATGTCTCAAAAATTAAGAATCATTACCTGAATAGCTTCAGGCTTTTGCTCCTAAATTATCCGATATTTAATATCAGTTTCCAGGGTCATACTCTAATTTCTCCATTGTATTTGTAAGAAGTTATCTAATAAATTATATAACCAAATAGAGATGAATTGGTAAAAGAAAAAGTCATAAGAAATAAGAAGGAAGAAATGTCATAAGACATAATTCTGTTTTGCTAGAAAAGAGAATTTCCAGAAGATGAGATAAAGAAGTTAGTAAAGGTCCACATCTCTAGAGTTCCAACAGTTCTGGAATATGACTGATAATATGGACTATTCACTAGTCGAAAAGGGCAGAAGAAAGTCCCAGAAACAAATCTGTTCTGGGATCATCCCTAGGATTTCAGGTTCACATACATTTACAGAGTTCTCAAAACACAAACCAAAATACATTTTTGTACCCAAAGATACGTCAAATTCAGGATGACTTGCCTATCTTGGAATTACTTCGAATGAGATTAGAAGATCTAGTGTAGATTTGATTGCTTAAGCCCTACAATGAATTGCTGAATTGCCCATTACTGCAATCTTTACAGGGAGGGTCACTGAACAGTTTTTGTAAATATGGCCTAGTACTGGACCTTGGACCCTGTGCTATCCTTGAACAACAGAAAAGATTGGAAGAAAAAGAACGTGTTCAGCTACTACCATCAGGTTGATTGTTACTGGCCCTTCTGTCAATTACTCTGGTTCTCCAAAACAAAATTGTTTGCTTTCGATCCCATTTCCCCTGAGCCTGAGCCTTTGCTTTATATACCAATTCTGTATCAGTTGCTTTGATTCCTTTTTTCAGAGCCCAAGATACTATTCTTATTTTTACAGAGTGACTATACCAAACTTCTTTAATTCCAGTCTCTCTGGACCTGAACCCTGAGTGAACTTCTGAGTGGAATCTCATGCCATCACCTCTGGCTGCTGCTCACTGCAGCAGCATCTCCATCTGAGTCAGCAACACACATCTGTCTGGGTGGGAAGAAGCAAAGGAGACTCCAGGAGAGTGCTGATGTATAGGACTAACTTCATGTGGAGGGCAGCCT